CGGCCGCCGGCTCCACAGGTGTGGCGCCGGCTAGTCCTGCGCGCGGTGTCCGCGGGCGCGCACGACTTCCGAACCGAGCCGGGACCCGAAGGAAGGGCGGCTGCGCCGGCGGCGTGCAGCCGAGCGGCCGGGGAGCAAGAAGCGCAGAGACGGACCCGCAGCGGCGCCGGGAAGGGAACGAGAAGTCGAGCTAGTGCAGCCGCCTCCTCCCCGCCTCCTTCGCCTGTTCGCTCTCCAGCAACCTCGAGCGCCCTCTCACAGCAACCTGGGCCGCTCCGCCGGCGTTCGGGCCGCACTAACCTGCTAGCGATGACCTAATCCCAGCCGAGCCAATAAGACCTCCGGGCCTCCCGGGTACGCCCGGCCCTTCCGCGGCCATGACCCAATCATCGGGGTCCGGAGGCGGGGTCTGGTCCAGGAGGCGGGGCCCACGCCACTGCCTAGGTCCGCAGCACAAGCTCCGCCCGCACCCGCCCGCGCGGTGTTGCAGACCCGGAGCCCCGGAGGTGAGCGCTGCGGCATGCACCGTACCTTGCCCGCCCGCATCCGAGATGGTGCGTCTGAAGGTCTGGGGAGCGGAAGAGCCTAGATGTGCCGAACATGAAAAATCTGGGAATTTAGGGCTGCAGTCCCCCTCACACTTCAGGCAATCGAGCTTGCACTCAAAATGCAGCCCCCTGCCCCAGAGGAACCCCGAGCGCATCAAGCGACCACATCGCCCCTAGGAACAAGCTCCTTCTTCCAGTCGAGCAGAAAATATTTTCATCTTAAAATTACCAGCTCTTCTTGCCTGCAGTCTTCCCGCCCCCTACAGTCCGGCCCCTTCACGGCCGCTCCTACTCAAAACCCGCCCACGGCTGCTCTCAGCCGAAGGATCTAACATCCTTACGAGAATTTCAGCCGCCTGTTGTTTCACTGCTGGGCACCTAACACAATTTTACATAATTACCTCCACTGCCTGTCGTCCTTTGCTGCATCGTGAGCTTCAAGAACACGAGCCACCGCAGTTTTCTTGTGCGCTACGGAATCCCTAACACCTAGAACAGTGGCCGGCATCTAATAACAGATATTGCGCTTACCGTGTGCTACGTTTGCTATGGCGATTGATAAATATTTGTGGAATAAGTGAATGGATCCTTTCCCGTGTCCCTCTCCACCTCCTACCCCACCCCACCCCCAATGCGTTGCCCTGTAGCCCTTTGGTTCCACCACAAGAATCAATCCAGGCAGCTCACGCACTGCACTTGCCAGGCTGGATCCCACGGTGTCTAGTGCTGAACTGTGAACTCCTAGAAGATAGGGACTGTCTTGGAATAAACTATTTGTATGTCTAGGAACTAGCAGCCCTCCAGTTAGGTGGTTTTGTGTGGCGGGGGTGGGGTGGGGGTGGGGGGTTGTTGCTGTTGTTTTTCACATAGGTCTGCTGTGTTTAGGCACTAGGCTAGATGCTAGAGATGCAAAGATGAATAACACAGAATGAACCTGACTGCTACTGGTTAGTGGGAGAGACAAGCGACAAGCAATAGCAATGCTGCATGGTAAGTTAGGATAGAAGGCCTGGGTGCTCGGGAACGTGGAGAAGGGATTGCTAACTCAGGGAGCCAGAGAAGGCATTGATGTCGAGGTACTGATTTATTAAATGCATAAATGAATGAATGTGATCTATTTGCCAGTTGCAGCTACAAATTCAGACTTGATAGCAGGCCCAAACAGCTATCAGATGGATAATTAAAACCCTGAAAATAGTTGTTCCTCACCTGCCAAGAATGAGAAAGATGTGGAATGGAAATCCCATGAAACTAAATCTGTTTAATGCAATATCTTGGGCACTTAAAAGTAGGTGTTCTGGCTCTTAAGTGATACATAACAAATCACACCAAAACTTAATGGATTAAAACAACTATGATCTCTTTATTTTCTCGCATAATCTCTGTGGGTCAGGAATTTGGGAGAGAGCTTGGCTGGGTGATTCTGGCTTGGGGTCTCGCATATGTTTGCAGTCATATGGCAACAGGACCATCTCCCTCTCTTCGGTGGGCTCAGGACTTCACTGTGTGGTCTCTCAATGTGGTCTAGTTGAGTTTCCTCACTGCATGGCAGCCTCAGCGCCCCAGTGTGAATGTTCCAGCTCACACAAGGAAAGCTGAATCACCTTTTATGACCTAGCCTTGGAAGACAAACACTTATTCCACCTTCATTGGGTACAAGCAAGTCACAAGCCCAGATTTAAGGAGAGAGTAATTAGACTGTACCTCCAGATGGGGAAGTAACAAGAAAGGGAGATATTAATGCAGCCATCTCTGAAAAAAACCAATCTGCCACTGCGGGCCTAGCACAAGGCAAAGTATTCAATAAACGTTAAATGAATGAAACAAAATGAGGTCCACAATTATTTATTGTTATTCTATTGAGGAATATTGGGCAAATGTGCCTAAACATATACGTATTAGTAAGAATAATAATGATAAATATTAGCCATCATTTGTTAAGCTCTTAGTTTGTGCCAGACACTATGCTAAATTATGTACATGCATGTAGTCCCTACAAGGGAAGACTGGTACTAGGATAATCCCCATTTTTCAGATGAGAAATTGAGGCCCAGAGTTGTAACTTGAACCAGGTTACCTAGCTAAGAAGAGTGTGTGGCACATACACATACACAGATATATACCTTAATATGCCTGTTTACAAGTGTGTAACTTCTTCTGAATTTAATCCAGAATTTCCACAAAGACCTCCCACACTTTCTGCAATATTATCAGAAGAGAATCAGAAGGTAGTAGTACTGAGTACAGAAACTGGCCCCTGGAAGGTGCAGCTGTCTCTCTCTCCCTAGAAAATAAGCTCCATGAGATAGAGATTCTGTGTTCACTATACAGCCCCAGCACCTAGGACAGCAAAGGGCACTTCAAAAATGCACAATGCCAACGGGAGGGGCACCTGTTTAATAAGGAAGAAACGATGACTCATGTAACAACATAGGTTGTGGCCATGAATGCAAACAGAACAGAACAGTTAAGGCCCAGAAATCACTGTCATATGAAATATAGAAATTATTTAGGCAACATGATTTGGCCGAATTTCTTTGGATGAATATCTGAATTCCTTCAAATTAACCAGATAGTTCAAATACTTCCAGTTTTGATATCAATGTATTTTAAATCCATATTATTTCTGCCTTCAATTGTCCAATTAACTTTTTTTTTTTTTTTTTTTTTTTTTTTTGTCTGCATTGGTTCTTTGTTGCTGTGCACAGGCTTTCTCTAGGTGTGGCGAGCAGGGGCCACTCTTCGTTGCGATGCACAGGCTTCTCATTACGGTCGCTTCCCTTGTTGCGGAGCATGGGCTCTAGGTGCGCAGACTTCAGTAGTTGTGGCTCACAGGCTCTAGAGCACAGGCTCAGTAGTTGTGGCGCACAGGCTTAGTTGCTCCACGGCATGTGGGATCTTCCCGGACCAGGGCTCGAACCTGTGTCCCCTGCATTGGCAGGTGGACTCTTAACCACTGCGCCACCAGGGAAGTCCCTCCAATTAACTTTATACCTACCATACAATTACCTCCCATTTGTAGAAAACAGGAAAGCACTCTCACACATGTTATCTCCAAGTCCACACAATCAGAGGTGGGCAAGGGTCACTGGCTCATGATTCCTGAACACAAGCTAGAGAATGGAGCTGGTCTTTGATGAAAGTTCATCAGTCCTCACGTAACTGAGGACCAGGGATAGTGTAGCTTCAGGGCAGCTTCTGGCAGTTTAGGTGATGACATCAGTATAAGGTCTCTCTCTCCATCACTCCAGCTGACCGTCCTCTGTGATGCCTTCATTTTCAGTGACTCTTTCTGCTCCTCCAAACTTACATCAAGCACTATTAGCAGTAAGACAGTTTTCTTTCCAAGAAGTCTAGCAGAAATTACAAGACTGAAACCAGAGGTGAAACAGCCCCACTCCTAACACATAAAGCGTTGGGAGGAGTTGTTCCCGCAAAGGACAAGCAAAGTGCTGTTAACAGAAGAGAGAATTAATTGCTGCTGAATAGGCAGAAGCAATAATATGCAGTACACCTGACCGGTCCCCCAATCCCCCTCAAAATGAGTGTTCCTTCTGCTACATTCTCCTGGTTTTGTAGTTCTAGTTAGCATTTATTCATTCTTTTGTATGGTTGATACCATGTCTCTCTACACATGACTTCACCTTTGTGTTCTTACTGGGTAAGACATCAATTTTTCTATTTTAAAATACTGATTTGGGGGTAATGGAAAATCTATATCTCGACTGTGGTACATAGGCATCAACATTTGTCAAAATTCATGGCTGCATTTTATTGTATATAAACTGCACCTCAATAAAGTTGGTTTTAAAAAATGATGATGGTGGTGATGTTAACAAAATTAAGCTTTTGCTGTGTAGTAGGATTCACGCTAAGCACTTTATTGTATTGATTCATGCTAAGCACTTTATTGTATTTCCTCACTTAACCTTTAGTAGAATCCTGGGAAGTAGGTACTGATACCCTTCATATTGGGTGGGCCATAAAGTGCCTTTGGTTTTTTAAGTAAAAATAAAAGACATATTTTTCATTTTCATCATTTTCACCAAGAACTTTATCAAACAACGTATTCACTGTTTTGTTCTACTACCTTCTGCCATTTTTCAGGCAACTTCATAATACCATCTTCCCAAAATTTTTTATCATTTTGAGGAAAGAACTGTTCCAGGTACCTTTTACAGTCTTCCAGGGAATTGAAATTTTTTCCATTAAGAGAATTTTGTAAAGATCGAAATAACTGGA